CGGCTCTGAAACTCGGTGCCCCTGTGTTTTGTAGAAACTCTGATCTGGGCCTGGTTTTTTTTTTTTTTTTTTTTTTTTTTTTTTTTTTGTTTTTGTCTTTTTTACTGACCAGTAACAGGATCGCAACCCTCAGTGTTGCGCCCGCACCGCACTCAGCCAGTGAGCGGGAACCGGTCTCCACATGGGATCCGAACCCTCGGCGGGAGCACCGCCGCTCTCAAGCGGCGCACTCTCCAGTGCGCCACGGGGCTGGCCCTGGGCCTGAGTTTTTTAATTAAACTGCACCCCATGCAATTCTGCATTCCTGACTAGTCTCCTCTGAGTGGTCCTGCACTGATTGGGGGGCGGATCGGCTATCCTTGCTGTGTCCCAGTGTTCTCCTGGTGGGCCCGTCTCCCCTACCACCCATACTCCAGACACTTCCCATGGGATGGGCCCTGCACTGATCCCCTGCCTTGACTCACCAGCCTCTGAATGGCTCCCCTTTTTCAGTTGTTCTGGCTCCTCGCTCCTGCGTGGGTCCAAAGGAACCCTATTAGTGGTCTTGCTATCCTGGGGGCCACCAAAGTCCTCTTCTCCCCTTCCACCTCCAAGTAACTCCATCTAAAAGGCACAGCTGCTTCTTCTGCCAGCTCCTGCTCCGTGTGCTCCAGCATTAAAGCAGCCATGGGCTGAAACGCTGAGAGCAGTTTTTTCTTTCTCTCATTGTGGTTTCTCCTGCCTTCATGATTTCCATAGGTCTCTCCTCCTCTTCACCTGAGCTCCAGTGGCCCCAGCTTGGCTGATGTTACATTTTTACTATTATAAATTTGTTGATTTGTGGAAGTGAATGACGCTGGGGACTGCCTATTCTGCCATCTTGGCCAGAACTCGCTCTGACTTCTGTGACTGAGTGTGTATGTGGATCCAAGCAAGTCTAACTGAAGATGTGGTATTGTGCATCTTCATGCCCACAGGTGTGTGTGCATATTTATGCACATGTTTATATGTCTCTCTGTGTTTCCCTATCTGTGTGCACTGCATGTCTCTGTTTTCCACGTGTACCTAGGACAGAGTCTATATCAGTCAGGATGCTTTATCCTGTACTAAGAAATCAGAAAACCCAACTTGAATGGTCAAATCAAAAATGAGTTTATAATATCACATAGCAAAAAGTTAGTTGGCAGGGCAATTCTAGGACTGGTTAATTCATTCATTCAATAATGTCATTGGGGAGCCAGGTCCTTTCCATTTCTGTTGGCTGATTTTTACTCTGGCACCTCATGGTCCCAAGATGGCAGCCACAGCTCCAGCTATCATACACAAACAACAACCTCCAAGCCCTAAGAAACCACTCCAAACTTAGTGAAGTAAAACAACTATCTTATTATACTCACAAATTCTGTGGATCATAAATTTGAACAAACCCCTGTGTGGATAGCTTGCATCTGCTCCACAATGTCTGGGACCTTGATTCTTCTTCTGCACTTCTTAAAAGCAAGGAAAAACTTTCACAGAAACTCCCTATTGGGTGTGTATGCTTGTCTCATTGGCTAGAACTCAGTCACGAGCTCAAGCCGAAACCAGTCACTGGCAAGGAAGATAGAATTACACAGTCAGACTAATCAAGATTTATTGAACTAGAGGAGGAGCTCTTTCCTGAAAACATGCCCCAAGGAGGGTGAATACCTGAACAAATTTAGAAGTCTACCGGCAGAGAGAAGGTGGGAGAGGGACCTAGGTAGCAGGCTAAAATGGCACATGGAAGTTCCAAGGTTGTGAATCTCTTCTAGGACTAATATCCAGTGGATCCCCATTGGTAGCACTGTTTGTGTTCTTAAAATATTGAAATACTTTCATACTAGTTGGTAAATAGGTGTTTGCCCAAGATCCCCCCATGCTGTCACAATCCTCTCCCCTGAGACCTCCCAATCTTACCACAACTCGGAAACAAGAGCTAGTACCTGGGAGAGTGAGAGTGGGAAGGAAGTTCCAGCATCTGCTCCAATGTGTGGCCAGCATGCAATCTGATTTGTCAATAGCAGTTGCTAATAGTTTGCATATTATCTCCAGCTTATCCATGGTGTGTGCTGTGGTTTTAAAATGTGGCCACAAACTCTTTGACCTTCCTCCCATCAAGTGACTTGGTGAACGTGGACTTGTGACTTCTTCAACCATAGAGTGCTGTGGAAGTAAAGCTGTGTGACTTCCAACATCTAGTTCACCGAGTTCTCTTAGAACACTCTCGAGATGCTTCCTCTCAGAACCCAACCACCATGCTGTGAGAAGTCCAAACCACATGGAAGGGCCACATGTATATACTCCAGCTGTCAATCCCAGCTGAGTCCAGCTTTGGAATCATCCCAGCTCAGGAAACATGGGAGTGAAGAAGCATCCAGATGATTCCAGCTCCCAAGTGGAGCAGAGACCAGCTGTCGTCACTGTGCCCTGATCAAGTTCCTCACCCATAGAATCTGTGAGCATAATAAAATAATTCTTATCTTATGCTACTAAGTTTGGTTTGTTATGAGACAATAGATAATTGGAACAGTGGGACGGCCATCAGCCCTTCACAATCCATTGTGAGGTATGTCACAAGAAATTTCTTACCAAGAGTAACCCACCAAAGTTTCCAAATGGCTGACTTTCTGTCACATTACAGGGGTTTCAGAATCGTTTCCATAATCCTACAACTCTCACTCTTTCGCATTCTTGGCTGTTTTTCTTGATTAGGAGACAAAGGGGTAGAGTACAGCCACACACTGGAAATCACACCTAACCCCATAGCGACAACCACTGCATTATAGGGTCTGTGACTGGCAGAACCCCAGTTTGGGTGGAAGGGAATAGTGTTCCCAGCCCAGGACATCAATTTATTTCCCCTTTGCCTGACATCTGTTTTCCCAGACTCCCTCACAGCTTGAAGCAGCCAGCAACTAAGGGCTTCTTAAATGAGTTTATTTATGTAAAGAATTTAAAACAGTCCCTGGCAAAGGGTAAGCCCCATATACGTGTTTGTTGTTGTTACTCTTTTTATTTAAAGTGCTTCTTCTTCCCTGATACAAAGAAAACCCTTTTCTACTTGTTCTTTTCCTTCCTGTTTATTTGATTGGTATGAGAATGTGAAACCTGCAGTGGTGGCAGCCATTTTGTGACCATGAGGCAACAAGCTTAGGTTATGAAGATATAATTCTGAGGAAGGTGTAACAAAAGAGTAGGAACTGAGTCATTGCTGGTATCAATAAGCCATTTTACAAAGCCCCAGAAACCCCTAACTCCAGACTTATTGTTAGATGATATAACTAATTGTCTTTAATGCTTGTCATGTTAAATGGGTTTTGTGTTTCTTGCAGCCAGATGTATTCCCTCAATACATCTCTGGACTGCCAGCACTGAACCCAAAGAAAGCAGTCAATTAATATTTAATAAAAATCTTGGTCATATAGCACATGTCTGAGTTCAGGCTTATGACCCTCTTCAATTATGGGTGTTACAATTGAAGGGAATAAGGTTGCAAATCTCTGCTTAGAGATACCAAGGCCTTAGAAAAAAGA